TAATTTAAAACTTTAGAATAAGTAATCACTATTAATTAAATTATTTTATTCACATTTTTGCTTTATTGTGGTCAATCAGTTTTTACTTTATCTAAATTAAAAAATGGAAATACGTCACACATACGACGTCAAACTGTCAAACATAATAATTATGACCGAGGTGATTTAGATCGAAGGTAACGTCTAAAGGTGTGAGACTATCGATAGTCGTAATGTAATGTAATGTAAATTATAGGTTTCTATCGATTATTTCCCACCTCTACGAGTTTCATCAATCTAACGATTATTAGTAATTGCGAACTGTTTAAAGCGATAAACGGTGGTTATTTGTAACCGATAATTATTAATTTGTGATATTCGTAATTTAATGAGTTTTTTTTTTGGATAATATAGAAATGCTTATAAACATGTTTGCATCCACTTAATCATCGGAATCCGAATGAAAAAACGTAACGGATAATCAACCAGAAACTTATACCAGGAGCGAACACATCCCCCGATCACAACCGGTTTGTTTTATTAAAGATGAGGAGAAATTAAACGGGTTGTTATAGTTAATAAGAGTGAAACTTAAAGACTGTCAAGAGCCCTAGCACCAAGAATCACATTTATCACAGGCGGTCAAATCACTAACAGCTCACAAATCACAACACATGCGCAAACTGGAATTTACAATAACTTTTTGATACATCAATGGGGACAATTTCACTACATGCCTATGTGGCCAGTTAAAAAAGAACACCTACACACAACTATTGAAGAAAAAGGAGAACCTGGATGACATGTAAGAAATTTTTGAACATATTGGAAGAACGAAGAAAACATAAAGCCGAAGACCTGACTCAATAAGAAGAACATTCAGGGAAACCTACGAAAAGAAAATTCGAGAGTAAAAGAGAGGAGGCTCTCCGACAGATGCAAGGAAATTAGAAGATCTGGAATAAATGAGTATGATATCTTTAAATTTTAAAACAAATCAAGAACTGGACAGGTTTCTAGAAAAATCACAAGAACGAAGTATCCATAAAATGATAAAACGGGATATTAATGACTGAATAGACAAAGGAGGACCAAGCAACTAAAGCGAATAAATACGGGGTCTGAACTCTACAAAATAAGGCGTTTTTATTAAATTCTCTCAAAATAATCGGAACCTGACTGTAAGTGAATACCAGTTTGTTGATATTAATTATTTACAAAAAACAAACGTTGACCTTTTATCTGCATCCTATACAACTATTACTTTATGGATATTTCAGTGATAGTAAGATCAGTTTTATAATATTTGTTTATTGAATAATTTCTTTTTGTTAATAAATGTGGATAAGAAATGAAGGTGTTCGGTTCTAAGACATTTTTTTCGTTGCTAGTGCGCGATCATTCGCGAATTTGGTGATTAACCACACGAAAATATTGTCTATCAACTGTCACTAGCTCAACACACAGGAGATTTTTTGTTATTTACAATATGTGAGGGCATCCAAATCTATAACGTAATTAAGTTCCCCAAAATAAAAGTTTTAGTAAGACAAAAAACTGTTTAGTTGGAAAAAGAATAATAAAGAAATAATTCTTAATATTTTATTATAAAACTTAGGTTCAATTAACTATCAGCCTAATGAGTCATGCACTTAAGATTTTCTTAAAATCATACATGCCAGAATTTACAAGAAATGCGAAGATGTCGGTGAAATGCAATTTGGATTCCGCAATTCCATGGGTACACGTGAAGCACTTTTCACCTTACAAGTCCTACTTCAGAGATGCCGCGATGTCAGTTGTGATGTCTATATTTGTTTTATTGACTACGCCAAGGCATTTGACCGTTGTCAGCACCAGAAGATGTTCGCCGCCCTACAAAGAGTAGGATTGGATGAGAAGGACATTCGGATCATCACGAATTTATACTGGAACCAGCGTGCTCAAGTCAAGGTCGAAGACCAGCTGACCGACCAAGTGAAGATCATGCGAGGAGTAAGGCAAGGCTGTGTGCTCTCGCCGACTCTTTTCAATATATACTCTGAGGAAATTTTTACTGAAGCCCTCACAAACCTAGAGATGGGAATCCGAGTGAACGGTGAATACATCAATAATATCCGCTACGCCGATGACACTGTGTTACTAGCAACCAGCCTAAATGATCTACAAGCCTTACTAGACCGAGTGAGAACTGTGAGCGTAACATACGGACTAGACCTTAATATTAAGAAAACTAAATTCATGGTTGTCAGCCGTGCAAATTTAGATCCGGGCACTAATGGCAGGTAGCGAAGAGATCCAGAGAGTCGACAGATTCACTTACCTCGGAACTACCCTCAACTCACAATGGGACTACGCTCAAGAGATTAGATCCAGAATTGAAATGGCACGGTCTACATTTATCAAGTTGAGATCCTTGCTGTGCTGCAGTGATCTCAGTTTGGGAACCAAGATGCGGATAGTGAGGTGCTACATTCTTCCAGTGTTACTATATGGAGTTGAAGCCTGGACACTGACGCAAGCCACAGAAAAGCGGATTGAAGCCTTCGAGATGTGGATCTACAGAAGGATACTAAAAATATCGTATGTGGACCATGTCACCAACGTTGAGGTCCTACAGCGCATGAGAAAAGAAAAGAAGTGCTTAATTTAGTGAAACAACGTAAGCTTGAGTACCTCGGGCACGTGATGCGGAACGAAGAAAAATATCGAATTCTTCAACTCGTTATGCAGGGTAAAGTATTTGGCAGGAGAGGACCGGGACGCCGTCGTATCTCGTGGTTAAAAAACTCCGACAATGGTTTGGGATGACCTCCGCGGAGCTGTTTCGCAGAGCAGTCAACAAAACCATGATAGCCTTGATGATCGCCAACATCGGACCGGAAAAAGGCACTGAAGAGAAGAAGGTTCAATTAAAACACTACTGAACTGTACAAATTTGAAAGTCTAGTGAAATAAATAGTTTAAGATTAATTAATTTTTTATGCTTTTTATTTATGCAATGTCAAAGAATAATTGATGTATTTTTTTTACTTGCATTTAAATTTAAAAGAAAAAGATCAAATTAACAATAATTATAAGTGAAAATAAAGCATTTATTTTAATTACTAGGTAACTTTAATTAAATATTAGAAAAATCACATTTTGTAAGTGTTTTTGTAAAAAGATTTTTCTTAATCATAGTAGCCGAAGATATCTGCAGGTTTTTAGTGTTTATCATGAATTTAGCTTAATTCATGTCAAAAAATGTTTGTAGTATTCACTACTAAGAACGGATTTTTCTTTCCAGCATTAGCAATAATTTCAATGAGGTCCATTTGGTATAAGCGACTTGGCATGCTTCTTTTGCTTTTCTCTACAATGGTAAAATCGCGATCACACGCGAGAAAGGTATGGAAGTTTCCTTTAACAAAACCTTTTGCAATCAAAACGAGATACATAACAAGTAAACCTGGTTTTTATTTTTGGCCACCACAATTATCTGACCAAAAATTTACTTTTTTCTTATCTATAGTGAATCCTATTTCGCAACTGGTAAAAAACCTGTCAGACAAGAACTATCTCGTTAGACCCCCTTACCCCACAGTTTCAATTAAAAAAGAGCAAGATGCCTCTACTCTTCTCTTCTAAATGCACTTTACAACGTTATGGTTTGGCACCTCTCATGTTTCGGCATTCTACAATCAAAATTAAAAACAAAATGTATTTATAACCCACCAACTTGGTAACCAGAATTATATAAAAATAGCAAACGCTAGCTTAGGATAAGCCACAATTATTTGGGAGCATTTTAGTAAACGGAACTTTTATTTCCCATTTTATATCGTGGTTGACTGGTTTTTCCACCATAAAATTTAAATTCGCACTAAAAACTGAGCTGATTCTGACAAATTGTGTTGCAAATCTGGTTACCAATTTGAAAGTTGAAGTTATTAAAAAGGAAAAAACCAATATTAATAAATCAGTAACATATATAGGAATACATTCTTTATGTTTTCCATGTAATGGAATACTCATAATTTACTATGGAATCACTAACAGAAGAATTTTACTGTCATAATGGCATGTGTTTGTCTTTTTAAAGACGAATTACATGCTATGATTTTTTTTAACGGATATTCTCAGGTTAAAGTTGATTTCATGTAATCGAATGAACTATCTTATAAGTAAAGTCGTCCCAGGAGCGCAACTGAACAATATTGGCAATATCATTTTAAAGTCGTGTACTTTAAAATATATAATGTATGTCTAAATTGTCAATATAAATGAGTCAGATAAAATTAAATTATTAGAAGAATTTTTCACCAAGTAACAAAAAAACAAAATTTGTTTAATTATTAATGTTTGTATTTTGAGCACGATTTCCGAAGTGGAAATTGAAACGTCAATAAACGTAATTTAACCTTTAATTATGGCTTATTCCCATTTAAATAGTAATTATAAAATGCCACAAGAAAATAGTTTAAGAACAATATTAAGTGGAGATTGCCGTCTTTGTTTTTCACCCCTCAATTGGCATGCCAGAAGATATTGGTAAACAAAGTCAGGGGGACCTACAGTTTGGGAACCACTGGTCTACACTAAAATCTATTTTTTAGAATTTTCACTACTTGATCTTTAAATTTGATTATATTAAATAATTACTTTGAAAGAATCAACAAATGAACTGAAGCAAAGGCACATTACTTTTAAATGCAATTATAAATGCAAAAACATGTTTTTCGTACTAAAAATTTACGCGTCTTGATTTTACATGATTTTCCAGGAAATCACAATTTACTGAATCATCGTATCAAAATTAAAAATATGCATGTGCTATTTTTCACACAGTTTAAAAAACTTTGTGAGATCGCAATGATTTATAATGTTTCAAGATAAAACGTACAACCTTGTTTTCGCATTTATTTTAACCTCTTTCGTTTAATTATAAACAATTTATCTCATAGTACATATTAATTAAAGATAACAGACAATATTATGAAGCTTTGTTTGGGTAAATAATAAAAATTATCTATTTTTAGGAATCTCAATTTTATCACGAGGAATTTGCTGATAAGCCAGCCCTATTTGGGCCGAGTCTTAAGGATATAGGTAAGATGGCAAAATTGATAAACTTTTCTTAAAACCTTTTCTTTAAATTATTCATATAGAGTAATGTAACACATTAGATTAATTTTTACCTTCGAAATATGTTAAAATTCGGTTATGTTAAAATAAGAAGGTTTCGAGTTCATAACAATAAATTTAATACACGAGGCATCGTATTGGATAAAGCAAATCAAATACACGCGTTGTTTTGAATTTAGTGTATTAAGTTCGAGCCCATATCAGACAGAGTAGCATATCTCATCATCAGGATTAATAAAAGAACCACTCTGAAAGTGACCAAGTGTACGCTCCGACCAAAAGCCACGACGTTGACGAAGTAGAAATATTTTATGATGAAATAATAACAGCTATAGAAACAAATAAAGCAAATTACGAAATACTATTAGGAGATTTTAATGCTAAATTGGGCAAAAAAGAGGAAGATTATGAACATTTAATTGGTAACTATGGCTACGGGAAAAGAAACTATAGAGGAGAAATGCTTCTCAATTTCATGAATGAACATAACATGTACTCAATGAACTCCTTTTTCAATAAAAAAACGAAGCAGAAAATGGACATGGATGAGTCCCGATAAAAAGACAAAGAATAAAATAGATTATATCTTAACGAAGAGTAGAAACCTAGTAGAAGACGTATCAGTATTAAATCAGTTTGACCTAGAAAGCGATCATAGACTAATAAGAACAAAACTAATAATTAACAAAAAACTAGAAAGAAAAAGAATACATGAAAAAAGATACAAATGGACATCTGAAGAAATCAAAAATAGTGAATTTAATAAAAAGATAGTGCATGCATTAAATCAAGTTAGCATGCAGCAGATAAAATCCAATGATATTGATGATTTGAATAACCTTATTACCGAAACAGTGAATAAAAGCCTTCTGCAACTGAAAAAACCAAAAACAACATACAATGAATTAGACAAAGAAATATTACAACAAATAGAAAGAAGGAAGATCTTAAATAAATCTAACAAAAGGGGAACCGACGAATATAGAGAACTTAATAGGCAGATTAGAAAAGGAATCAGACAACAAAAAAGAAAAGAAAACGAAAAATTAATAACAACAACTATTGAAAAAATAAGAGTATGAAATGCCTCAGACCGACACTAGGACGACGTCAGATGATATCATTAATGGGAAAAGACGAAAATGAAATCACAAGTAAAGAAAACATACTGACATGAATAGAAGAATTTTACACAGAACTTTACAGATCACATCAACAAGATGATGAGATGAGACCAGCACGGAAATTAATAAAAATGTTGGATCAGAAATAATGCCAAAAGTAACAATTTCAGAGGTAACTACAGCATTGGAAAACATAAATAGAGCTGCAGGAGAAGATAGTATTACCACAGATATGATATTAGAAGGAGGTAAGGAACTAATTGCAATTGTAACTAAGCTTGTGGACAGTTGTTTACATCAGGGCAAAGTCCCTAAGAGCTGGAACAACTCTAAAGTAATCTTATTACATAAGAAAGCAGATAGTCGAAAATTGGAAAACTACAGACCCATCAGCCTACTGTCACACCTGTTTAAAATACTCACCAAAATCATAACTACTCGACTAACAAGGCAGGTTTTAGAAAAGGCTATTCAACTTCCGATCCCCTGTTAACCACAAAAATATTAATAGAAAAATGTAACGAATACAAGTTTCCAGTCTTCCTAGCATTTGTAGACTACGAAAAAGCTTTCGATACCATAGAACACACGGCCGTAATAAACGCAATGCAAAATTGTAGAATAGACAGCAGATATATTAACTTAATAAAAGAAACTATGAACCAAGCTACAGCTACATACTACCTAAATGAAAATGAACACACGAACCGTGTACCATTAAACAGGGGAGTCAAACAGGGAGATACTTTATCACCCAAACTGTTCACCTTAGTTTTGGAGGTTTTTTACTTGATCCTGGGATCAAGTATCCCGCATTTAATAGGATCAACGATCCATGCAATGACATTTTTCTAACAAGTGCAAGTTTTAGATTAAAACAGTTACAATTTAAATATCAGTGGTTTAGTATTTAGTGGATAAAAGTACAATTGTTTCACTTATTTGGGCAGTATAATTATAAACTAAACGAATTAAAGTCAATGTTACAAAATAGAATAATATTGATTAAAATGTCAAGCTTATTCTGAAGTAGCAGCCATTTGTCAAAACAAAGTAAACAGTATGGCTTCTACCCAAGCGGGTCAACAGACCAGGTTGCGTTCACCAGATTAATCCGCTTTCAATCCGATTGTTCAGCGCTTAATGCTAAGAATTAAAGTTTGGTGAACGACTGACGTTTGACAGTTGTGCTTGGTGCTTTGTTTTTATTAACCTAACCACAGAATAAATAACAATATCTAACTAAAATCAAAATGCATAATATTCTTGAAGCATTTTTGTTTGGGGACGAAATTTTATATTATATTTATTCTGTGACCTAACCACAAAATAAATAACAATGCCTAACTAAAAGGATAATATTCTTAAAGCAGTTTTGTTTGGGAACGATATTTTATATTATATTAATTTATATATTATATTTTATAAATAGTGTTATTATATTTATATTCTATTTCGAATAAATTTGCCATTTTTTATATGCAATATTGCATATACAATATGCTGGCGGAATTCGACTATTAGAATAAGCTATTCAGCCATTCAGCGATGATTAAGCACAACAAATTTAAGGCTGAATAAAGTGGCGACCGCTAATCAGCCGCTTGAAGTTAGCTCATGATCAGCACATCGTTCACCAGAATCGATTATAAGCCGCTTGCAAGCAGCTTCTAGCGATTGAGTCTGGTGAACGCAACCGTAGGATATCATTGGGCGCCAAATTTAAATGGGGATCAAGTATCCTACCGAGATCAACTATCCCACCTCTCTTCTACTCAATGGAGTAATAAATTGAAAAACAATTAATAAATAACATGATCGTTCCTGTTTAGCGGATTTATTTTTATTTTAATACTATGCTTTTCCATATATTTTCAAATGAATTTGTTGCAGCTTTGACCGGCATGTTGATAGAGGCAAACCGCTCCGATGCCTGTGTACCCATCTTCCCGCCTCCTAACGTAGAAAACGACGTAGGGAAATGGATAGCGTTGGTGAGAAGGTCCTCACTGGAGTACAAGAATTGCACCTTCGAGATGAAGGTCCGCAACGCCCAGGCGGCCGGATACAACGCTGTCATTGTCTACAATGTCGGTTCGGATGAACTGATCCCGATGGGGGCCAACAACGTGACCGGCATTTACATACCTGCCGTTTTTGTCGCTGAGAAAAGCGGGTTAGCTCTGTTAGAGAAGTACGCCAACAACCCCGAATACTTCATTGTTATTAATGGAGATTCGCCGTTTGATTTACCGACTCATTTACTAGTACCGTTTTCTATCGCTATTGGTATATGCTTTATAGTTATGGTTGTTTTTATGGTAAGAGTTAGTGAGTATGTTATTTGTAGTTTAATTAAGCACTTTAATTTTTTTGAGCTCTCAAAAATTCTGCTCCGTTTTTACTAAATTTTTACCTAAATACCTAACCTAAATACAGATATATATTTAAAAGATTTTAGTTTATGGTATTCGGAAAGCGTCACCAACAGGCTATTAATCAAAATGTAAATGAAGAAGACCAGACAGATGTAGACTCCTACTGGACCACAATAAAGAAAGACATTGAAGCAGCAGCGAAAGATGTAATAGGAACAGAAAGAAAAAAATGGAGCCCACAAAAAGATGCTTATCCGACCAACTAGAACAACTGTAGAGAATTACCAGACAAACAGAAGAGAAGAAAAGGGGATACACAACAGAAAAAAACGAAACCACATAATAAGGAACTTAAATATATAAAACCTCAACAGAGAGAAAGAATTTAGTGCATTCTATAACAAGGTTAACATCGACAGAAAAGAATTCAAGGCAGCCACAAAATAATGTAGAAGTCAGAATCTTCTTCTTCAAGTGCCCTCTCCGCTACGGAGTTTGGCAATCATCATTGCTATTCGTATTTTTGAAGTTGTTGCTTTAAATAATTGGTTAGATGCGCACTGGAACACAGTCTCTTAATTTGCGCAGCCAAGATATACGTGTCTCCCCACGCTTCGTTTGCCCTGAATCTTTGCTTGGATAATTAACTGAAGCAATCTGTACTTTTTCCCTCTCATCACATGACCAAGATATTCCAGCTTTCTTCTCTTGATGGTGATCAACAGCTCCCGTTCTTTGTTCATTCTTCGAAGAACTACACTATTTGTTATTTTGTCTGTCCAAGGTTTTTTCAAAATTCTTCTATATATCCACATTTCGAAGGCCTCTAGTTTATCTATATTGCTCTTGTTTAAAGTCCAAGTCTCTACTCCGTACAGCAGTATGAAGTAGCATCTAACCAATCTCATTTTCAGGTTTAGGTTAATGTCATGACTTCCCAAAATGTCCTTCATAATAACAAAACCAGCTCGAGCCTTGCCAATTCTAGTTTTTATTTCTTCTGTGATGTCATTGTTGTTATTAACACTTGTTCCCAAGTATTTATATTTGTGCACCCGTTCGATTTCGTTATTGTGAATGTACAGGTTTGCATTCAATCTTTGTTTTTTTGAAATAATCATGAATTTCGTCTTTTTGACAATCATTGTTAACCCTTTCTCTTCACTAGCTGTGACTACCTTGTTTAAAATGGCTTGCAGGTCTTCTACTGTTCCTCCATTAAAACCGTATCATCTGCGTATCTAATATTATTAATTGGTTGGCCGTTAACTTTTATCCCAATCTCTTCTTCCTCCAATGATTTCTTCATAATTTCTTCCGAATAGAGATTAAATAGCATTGGTGACAGCACACATCCTTGTCTAACTCCTTTTTTAATTTGAATTTCATTTGTTGTGCTATTTTCGATGCGTGCAACTGCCTTCTGATTATAATACAGAGTAGATATTATTCTTATATCGCGAGTGTCTAAATGTTTAGCTTTCAAGATCTCTAAAAGTTGGTCATGCTTGACGTTATCATTTCTTCTTTATCTTGACGTTATATATTTTTAAGGTATGGATCATCAGACTGATCATGCGATGATCACTGTACTGCCTAGCATGTGCCTTCTTGGGAAGAGGGACAAAGGTTGATCTTAGCCATTCTTCAGGAATTATACCGTTTTCATAAATCTTGTTAAATAAGTCTACTAACAAATGGATTCGATCTTCATCTATCAACTTTAGTATATCCGCTGGTAGCTCGTCTGGTCCTGGAGCTTTGCTATTCTTTGATGACTTCATCGCCAACATGGTCAGAAGTCTGAACGGCGACCTATTAACAACAAGGAAAGATGTATTGAATAGATGGGTGGAATACTTTAACCAGGTACTTAATATAGAGGAGGAAGAAGAAAACCTGGAAGACGAAAGATATTAGCTAAGGGGAACAGACGAGAGGGAAGAGGAACCACCAACGATTCTTGAAGTTAAAGATGCAGTTAAAAAACTAGCCAGAATCAAATCACCTGGAATAAATAATCTCCCACCTGAACTATATAAAGAAGGTGGCCATGATACTATAATGTCATTACAGCAGCTTATAAAGAAGCAGGGTTGTAAACACAGAATGATAATGATGATGATGATTTTAGTTTATACCTCACTGTCATTTCTCTCTAAAAGTCTGTTCTTCGTTTGTATTATGACATGTTTTATGAAAGGCAGAATTGTTCATCAAAGTTACTAACTTACCAGATGAAAATGCTACCTAGTACCATCGACTTTACCTGACAGAAAATAGACAACACTGTGGGTGCATGTCTCCGTTCGGGTCGCGGAGATAAGAATACGGCCGAGGCCAGAAGATCCTGCCTGTCGTAATAGGCGACTCTCTAATGGGTGGGCAATGAGAGGTGGAGAGCCGTCGTCCGAGGTGTCGGGTTTGTAGAAACGCACTCTAGATGCATAACCATCTCGGTCACCGGCCTACACTCCTAGTATCCGTGGACCAGCATCTCGTGGGACCACTCTACTCTCATTCCACAAGAGCCAGGTGAGGTTGAACGAGCTGGGCCCTTAAATACCTCCCACGGCCTTACACCACTAAGGGTGTCTTGCCACGTACCGATCTGGAAAGATTTACGAGTGGTAGAGGAGTGATACCTGTCTACGTGCGAGGTGGAATTTGGGGGAGAAGGGAGGGTGACGTACTCGCAACAGTAGAGGGTGACCCACAGACTTGTAGGGGTTGTACGGTCGTATGCCGAAAGGCCAGGAAGACCAGGTTCCAACCAATTTCATAATTGGAGGGTACACGAATTCGTCAATGTGGGTGCATGTGTGTCTTTAAATGGGTGTTTTTACTCTGTACAAGTACGTTTTTCGTTAGATACGGCGCGTTTTTGCCTATATTTAACGAATAGGTTTTATAAAACCAATTACAGAAATTCTGGAAGGTATAGAGACAATATTTTAACGATTAAAATGTAGTTCACAGACACACGTGAAGGCTATTTTCTGTTACATAAAGTAGAGTTTGCTGTGCAGCGTGTACACTTTTGTAAAGTGAGAAATTTGTCAAGCATCACTGCCTGCCTTTCATCACTAGCTGATGAGGCCCAATTTAGGCCGAAGCATTAATTTTTTAAACGAAAGTTTGAGACAGAAAGAACAAGAATTCATTCTTACAGGTGCAAAATACGTCAACGTTTAAAAACTAAATCCATTTTCGACGATAAAATTTTTTATTTTTATTTGCTCATCTCAAAAATTAATTGGAAACCCCTTGCAAGATTCAAAGAGATTGTGCGAATTTAAAGTGGTATTGTTTACTATTCTAAATTCTTCCTACTAATAATTTTTACGTAATTACAGATATGGAAATGTATAAAAGATAGAAGACGACTAAGGAGAAATAGACTGCCGAAATCTGTATTAAGACAAATCCCGATACACAAGTTCCAAAAGGGCGACCCCTTCGAAACCTGTGCCATTTGTTTAGACGATTACGTGGAAGGAGAAAAATTAAGAGTTCTTCCTTGCAACCATGGTAAACCATTTTTATTTTTTCTTTTATCACTACGAGGGTAAACTAAAATATCTCTTTAACTTTAGATAGATAGTGAAGACAATGAAGTTTTTAGTCAAAGAGATGCATTTACTTCTGAAAGTAGTTTCGCTTTAATTCAATAATGTTGTATTTCGGTCAGAATTTGGAAAAATTTATTTATTTTAGTTTAATTATTACAGAATTAGATTCCACATGTATCTAATAAGATCTTTATCATCGCTTGTTTTGCCTTCCAATTCTTAGAAGGCACAGATTAAAGCAAAAATCTGAATTTGGTTTCGAAAATTAGGTTTACGGATTCTAATATCAGATGTCGCTATTTGCGTCCATTCAAAGCCATGAATTCAAATTCATATTCATCATCAAATTCGAATTCAAAGCCAAATACAATTATAATTTCGGTGTAGATGTGTATACGCTGTCAGCTCAGCTGAACGTTTGCGTCCAAATCAAATCGCAGTTGATTCCAGCGCACAATCGTCGATGTACACGGCTATCAGTCTGCAGTGCGCGCAGCTCATCAGAACCTAACAAACCGTTATCATAGAAAACCATTTCTTTGATTTTGACGAACGTGCGCGGCGTTCGACTGACTGAGTTATGCGGCGTTCTACTGACTGTGAGGTATGCGTCGCTCACTGTTTTAGCAAACCATAGCTTTAGTAATACTCGAATAATATACGTGACGTTATGGATATGATCAATGGTATTTCTTTTAAGAACGGACTCTTATGATTTCGGCCTAAATTTTATAGGAATTTGTGTAGGTGGCGATTATCTTTTGGTGTTAAAACCAAATGTACGGACGTCTGGCTATTAAATAACGAGATTGCTTATGAAAAAAGTTTTATTTTAAAAATTATTCTGCAATCAATGCTCTCCTTCAATATATTCCTTTTCCCTCGCCATACACCGTTCCATTCGTTTTTTCCATTGGTCAAAGCAATGCTGGAAGTCTTCTTTTGTTAGAGCTTATAGGAGTTCCGCCGTTTTTCGCTTCACCTCTTCCATCGACTCGAACCGGATTCCTTTAAGGCAGACTTGATCTTCGGAAACAGAAAAAAGTCACAGGGTGCTAAATCAGGCGAGTACGGCGGGTGTTCGAGCACTGGAATGCCTCTAGAGGCTAAATAAAGATTCACAGACAGCGCGTTATGGGCAGGTGCGTTGTCCTGATGCAAGATCCATGGCTTGTTTTTCCACAACTCTGGCCGTTTCTTACGAACTCGCTCTCGCAGCGTTGCCAAAACTTTCAAATAGTAAGTTTGGTTTACAGTTTGACCCTCTGGAACCCATTCAGTCATCACGATGCCGTTAATGTCGAAAAAAAAAAAACGATTAGCATGGCTTTAAATTTTGATTTCGACATCTTTGCCTTTTCATTCTTGGCGATGCAGGAGTTTCTCCAGTTCATGGATTGTCGCTCAGTTTCAACATCGTATTTGAATATCCAGGTTTCATCGCGGTTCAATTCGTGATGTAAAATTTTTCTGACAGTTTCTTTATCAGCGTTTACAGTCTCAGCAATTTTCCGAATGCTCATACGACGATCTCGCGCATACAATTTCATTTATTTTGGTCACTGTTTGCGAAGTTAAAACAGAGACAGGTCGATCTGGACGTTGGTCATCTTCGGCGCTCTCTCGGCCTTCAGAAAACCGTTATACTATTCGAAAACACGCGAACGAGATAGAGAATTCTCACCATAGGCCTCTTTCAACAAATTATAGCACTCAGTCGGAGTTTTTTTTTAATTTAACGAGAAATTTTACATTAATCCGTTGCTCATGTTTTTCGTCGCACATTGTTATCGGTACGAGAAAAAAAACACGTTCTTTTCTAACCTCTACAGAAAAAATACTACTACAGCAACAAAAACGTGTTTTCGTGCTGGAAGAGTAGACACTTCCTGCTATATAATGCTGCATTAGTTCCCCACTCTTCCCTTCTAGGACGCCTTCTGCGCGCTCAGTCTCGTTATTTAATAACCAGACCTCGTATACTGTGTTTTTCTTTATCGTTTTCGAATAACTTTGAATATTAAGTTGTACATAACCGAATCTATAAACAGTGCGAAACAATCATCGGCGACGATCAGTTCGGATTCAGAATCGGCATAGGAACGTTAGAAGCCCTGTTCAGTTTACTAGTTCTAGCCTAAAAATGCTACGACCAACGTAAGGATATATCCATAAGCTTTATAGACTTCGAAAAAGCATTTGGTAGAGTAAGACACGACCTGATATTAGAACGTTTGCAAGAAGTTGGGGTTTAGATGGTAAGGACACCTTTTGTATTGGAACCAAAACGCCAGAATTAGGATCCAAGGTTCAACGTCCGCAAAAGTAGACATTAGGAGAGGAGTTAGACAAGGATGTATTTTGTCACCCTGCTATTTAATCTTTATTCCGAGTTTCTGTTTAAAGAGGCACTGTGGGAAAACAAGTATCTAGCCAAGGCGAATGGCGTAAATATCAAAACCATGGGTTTTGTGTATACCTGGATGATTTGGAATTCTCAAGAAAAACTTATTACCGCCAGCTATATGGATAAAATACGAGTTTTAAATTGTTATAAGTTTTGCCTTGTTGTAAGTCATTACCTGAACTTGGAATGCTGCCGACTAATCTAGAATGTGAGTGACAAGCGCCGAATTATCTCGAGTTCTGAGGCTTCTTATAAAAATCCCCATAACCGTCTAGGTCTAGAATATATTTCATTTAATATAAAAGACTGCTTGATATGATTGAAGAGTCAGTTATAAAATAGATTTCAAGAATACCATTTAAATAAATTATCTGTGTAAATAATTCGAACCGCGTGTTTTAATTGTCGTTACAATATATTGTCTAAGTTATTAAATAAGTGGTTGTACATTATACTTTTTGTAATTCATTTATTTTTCTAGCATACCATATGAAGTGTATAGATCCATGGTTGACGAAAAATCGACGAGTATGTCCCATATGTAAACGTTGTATTTGGGGCATCAAAGAACGACGTTCGGAATCGGACAGTGACGATACAGATACTGACGATACTTCCCCGTTAATCAATCCACGAAACAATACCACACAGGGGGGTACTTTTCAAGAACAATCTGAAAATCCATTCCAAAGAGCTATTAGGTACGTAATTTAAAATATCATTGTTATCATTTCTTTACCATTCTTCCGCTAAAGTTTTCGTTACTACGCACATTATTTTTACGGTTCTTGCTCATTTTGTAAAAATGTGACTCTGTTCATATTAAATTATTTAAGTGTACATTTGTTTAGGTCCATATCTCAAACTTCGGGAGCAGCTACGACGAACTTCGTCACGGCGTCCGGCCATCATAGCATCAACGGAGACTATCAAAGCCTTGACAGCAGTTCAGAAGTGACTACTACCTCCTCAACGACGGACACTACTGAAAGCGACATGCACAGCTGTTGCGCCACCTTGGAGGCCTCGAGCAGTCACAACAACCCTTTCGATGGAGTCAATGTTAGAGTTCTTCAAGCGGACGCTGTTAGTAATAATTCAAGTTCTGACGGTGTGGCTCACGCGTAACTGTTTGTTTTGGCGAGATTGTAGCTGCGTACGGTGGTTTAGGATGGAACGTGTGTTTTGATAAACAACTAGAAGGGATTGTAGTTGTTCCAAGTCTTCATGCATGGAAAGTCATAGTGCCTCGTCGAAAAACAACCATTCGGGATTCTGTAAGATATTATATGTTACTTACTTATATGAAACGTTACTTTCTATCTGATATGCCAAAGAATTCATTCGGTATTTTTAAAAATTTGTTTCTTATAACGTTTATTTTGGACAAGGTGTTAATTTAATGGTACATTTTATAGCGCAAGTCCCAAACCACCAAATAAGTCTACTCATATTATCGACTGATGTGCATTCTTCAGAGTTGCTTTGGTAAAAACAGTTTTCCTTATCAGCATCTTGATTAACAATAAGTTCTTTTATATTTTAATCTTTTGGTTCTGGTAATCTAGATCCGGATAATTACGATCAGTGTTAAATACAATAATTCAAGTCAAAATCTGACAATTCATGGTTAAATAATAAATATAAACTTTTTTGACAACTTAGGAGATATTTGGTACATAATATTAAATAGGTGTTCGTTAAATAATTCTTTAATTTGGATGTGAGCTATCAGTAGTTTAATAATATAGTTTGTACACTTGAAAACTGACTTCGCCGATAAAACCTCGGCTAAAATGAGGAGTCGTTTTGTCGAGAGGATTCTTAGAATATAAAACCGCAGGAAGAAGTGTCTGCTCTTCAAAGTGTTGGCTAGAAGGGTGGAAGCATATTGCATCTACAAATTTATAGGAAAGTAAACAACCTTTGTAGGTCTATTATGCTCCTCTTTGCTACTTAAGCTACTCATCGAGCCGTATTCTCTAATGAGCTTCCACAGCATAATGAGCCCTTGAGTTCTTGCTTGAGCTCATGAGCTCTTAATGAGCTTTCATAGACTAATGTTTTTCTGTTCTTCTAGACAGAACCGACAAGTATCCTCTTATGTCAAGCCTATATGACTCAAATGCCTATTGAGCTCACAATATCCAGTCATTAGCCCCACTACCACCCTGACAGTATTTCGATTGTGGGTCAGTAAGTCTGCTGTGAAATAATCATTAGGTGTCTTAGTGGACTCTTTAGCTTGGTGCATTTCTTCGTCATTCCAAAGACTTTTCTTGTCCCCCTTTATCAATGGTTGCTGTTTAGTGTGTGTTCGTTCCCAAAGCAGGGCTCAGGATCAATTAATGGTCCACAAGCGCCTACTAGGATCAGTTTATCAGCCTTCTCATTGTCTACGTAGCCTTTGTGCCCTGGAATCCAGGCTACTGTTGATCTATTTCGATTTCCAACCTTTCAAACAGTTTCACCTTATCTTTTAAATAACCTGCATATAACTGAGCGCTGTTAGAGCTGCTTGACTATCGGGGAGATCATGATTGACCCATTTTCCACTTCCCGTCAAATTAGTTACATAGCACACCTTTGTATAGCGGCGATTTCTGCCCGAAGTACGGTGGCATATGCTCCCAAGCGTAACCAGACACTTATCCTTGGACTTGTGCTGTTTAGAGAGGGGAGGTTTCTTGTAAAATAAGTTTTTGAAGTCTGCTCGGTAATGTTATATATGCCTAGGACCTCTCAGAACGCTTATCATTACGACTATCATTTATAATTGTAATATAACGTACAAAGAATCTAAGTTGAATATACTAGTTTCTTTCTTAGACGTATTAAGCAAAACTAAAAATCATAAATACAATTTTAGACAATTTTTCAAGTTATTAAATTTTTATAAATCAAATAACAAATAAATACGTCTTTGCTACTACTGATAGCACCGTGATGTTTTCACTTTTTACAGTTGAATTAAGAATTCAACTTAAGTCTTGCCTAATTGTTCTTATTGAACGACAAAATTCTAGAGAAATTTGAAGGTTTGTGTGGTTTCTAGTCATAAAATAAAATAAAATTATAATTTTTACAATAATTCGGTTCAGTTTAACGGCAAACAAAAATAAACAGTGTATGTTCGCAGCTCTTTGACTTATGGTTTGTTTTTTTTTAATATAGGTATTATACTTTAATTTAAAGCGGTGATATATATACGACAGTTTGTAAGTTATTGTAGTAATTCATTTTTTGTTTTAAAAAGTGCATTTTCTGATCAATTTGATGATGAAAATTAGGAATCTGTAAGATTTTTTGTGATCGGTGTTCTAGGTATCGAGATATCGGCAATAAAAAAACAACTTTGAACTTTAAAGGCAATACTTCGGTCTTTACAAGCCCCTATGTGAACAGGAAGATAAAGTTGACGGCAAGCTGCAATTTTCTATTGAAACAACTATTTATTATGAAAATGTTTCGAAGTATTACTAATTTAAACCGTTAATATCTCAGGAAGTAAACATTTACGGCAAAAACCAATGTAATATTTGGACTTGTGCGCTCGACTTGCCTTGAAGTCAACTGTCAATTGTCAACTGTCACATTAACATTATTTACCATTTAGAATTTGTCAATATCAACTAGTATTCGAAATTTTCGACATCTTAAAGCTGTCGTATGTCTAATACTGCTTTAATGTATATTTCATTTCAATTTTGAATACTTCATATAAATATTTTTCGAGTATAAAGAGCATTGACTATAACCTACAACAAACATTGTTTACAAGGTTTTAGATTTATTTGATAAATTATTTGCTCTTTAAAAAATGTTCGAAACATATAAGATGATGTATGTCATGGAATGCTATGTTTTGTGAATGAATGGCAGGGAATTACAATCATACTGAAACGTAGGCAACCAGTTATTCTATGCAAACTGTAGGCATTCTTTTGTCTTTTTTGCATAACGAATTAACTAAACGTTTTAAATACTCATATAGGTATCCTAGATTTCTTAACCACCGCTATCTACATTGATTTGTGGTTGATTGTTGTATTTCTCAGTCGACTTACTGGTGCTAGATATGTTATGTCACAAATAAACCATTTTGTGGTGGTTTATTGCAAACACATATTGTTTGTTCTATTAATACGTATTATTTGTTTTTTTTTCACTGTGAACAACCACATTATCTCTACAAAATGGTCAATTTGTACTTTTTGGCATATTATTTGTAGTATTTTGATTTATAATAATGTATATATATTTAAGCATTGTATTAATATAGGACAATTGTTTTGGAAAGGCGTATAGTTTGTTGTTGGCGCCGGTTAGTACCAGCAGGACTAAGTTTTTGGACTCGAATCGATTAATTAATATTTTTCCCTTGATAATCCCTCGGTAATCCAGTAAGCGGCAGTTATGAAGAGATAATACATTTCAAAAGTACCAGTTCAGACTTTGTATTTTCTTCGTTCTCATTTTTTAAATGATTACCATACGATTGAAACCACATGATCGACAAATTCTACATACAACGTGACATTCGACGTAATACTTGACATTTGACATAAAAAGTTATATAAAAAGTGATGTAAAACGTTACATACTAAGTGACAAAACGTGACATTTGGCATAAAACGTGACATTTGACATAAAACTTGAAAATAGCTTCAGAACAATATAAAACTTGACATTCGACATAATATGTGACAATACACATCATAATCATCAGTAGCTCGACATCCCTCTCTGGGTCCTGGCTTGTTCTAGGATTTTCCGCCATTCTGTTCTGTTCCTTACCTTGTTTTTCCAGTTGGTAATCTTAAGTGTTTTCAGATCTTGTTCCACTTGTTCCATGTATCTAAGTTTGGGTATTCCCATTGACCAGCTTCCTACTGGTGTTTGTCTCATTATATGTTTTGGCGTTTCAGTCTCCAATATCCGTTCAACATGGCCCATCCAACGCAGACGTCCGATCTTTATCGCTGTTATGATCTCGGGTTCATTGTATGCTGTGTATAGTTCAACGTTATATCTTCTGCGCCATATGCCATTCTCCTTTACCCCTTATATATGTGTCCAAGGATTTTTCTTTCAAATGTACCTAATAGGTTCTCATCGCTTTTCGACAGTGTCCATGTGTCTGATCCATATACAAGGACCAGTTTTATCAGGGTCTTGTATATTTTACATTTGGTTTTTCTTGTGATGTTGTTAAATCTTAGATGTTTAATCAGTCCATTATGTTTTATTAGCGATATATATTCTTATCTTAACTTCTTCACTGACGGTTATCTGCGGTAACTAGTGAACCTAGATATGTAAAACTTTTCACGCTTTCGATATTATTGTTTCCTATTGTCATATTCTGTAGGTTTCTTTGGCCTGTCGATTTACTGGCCCTCATGTATATGTGACAATACACGCATTCACCAAAAAATTGCGCATCCACCAAAAATGGGTCAAATTTCAAAGTGTACTAAAGAGGCTTCCTATCTACTATTCACGTAGACGCCTCACCTTATAGACGAACTGGATAATCGAGTCTAAACTGTTTTCCAAATAACAATTCTTGGATGTTTTTAAACTGTTGTATCAATCGAATACTCAGTTTTCGTGTTCTACCCCCAATTACAGCAAATTACTACCGAATCTTTGAGAAACTCATATATTTCCTTGTTAGCAAATATTTATGATACCTTTTAACACGTTATAAATGATTCCCGTTTTTTTTTTGAAAAATTATAAATTCTATCACTTCTCGTTCACTCTATTTAATTTGTTCAACTGAAAATTCTTTTGCTATGCATCTCATTGTCTGAATACTTATTTTCTGATGCTTCCATCCAATTTTAATGTACATACATATAGGTAACCATGTTTAAGTTAACTATAATCCACTTAAAAGCAATAATTCTTATAGAAAAATTCCTCATACCTTCTAGATGTATACGACGTCCCAAATTGGTATGTTTTGCAAGGTGTACCGAAAACTAGAGTTCAGCTCAGAACAATACATACCATATTTAGTAAATGTGGCTTATTCCCAATAAAAATAGTAAAGTCTGTACTGTATGTAAAGACAGTGTTACTACTTACTGTTTTTCTCCACTTGTGACACTTCCCTAGTAAATTCTTCATACTGGCGCTTACTGTATATATATATATATATATATATATATATATATATATATATATATATATATTATATATATATATATATATTTAAGTTCTTGTGAGCTGGATTCATATATAACTTTTAGCTAATGTTTTAAGTACCTTCATTATATCTGAGCTCGCGTGTATGAATTTGGAATGTGATTTTTTTATTATTTAACTAATACAGTACACTTACCCTTTTAGTTTTAGGAAAGACAAAATATTTTGTAATGTAAGTATAGATTTCGTGATTCCAGTGTAATATATGATTTTAGTAAATATTAAATATATTATAATTGTTTAAACTGGTTTTTGATTTCTTTTAATACCTTTTCTATAACTTTGGCGTATCAAATGAAAAAGGACGATAGATACCAACGCTTCATGGCAGTTATCAAGGCACGGAAAAGCAAACATGACATGGCAGACAAAGATGACTCAAAATATGTTATTTGGAGCAAATTCCACGTTTTTTTTGGGACGAAATTCCAACCTTAAAGAAAGTTGGCCTCAAGTTTCAAATGGACATCAAATATATGAAAGGAATAGTGTTCCTATAGAAAAAGAAGAAATTATCTTGTGGCATTACTTATAAAAATCATATTATCACATTATAAACAAATATTAATGTTATTAAATACATTTTATTAGATACCTTAACGAATACAAAACGATCAGTAATCTATGATAATTTTGCTGCATCTGAATGATTAAAATATAAATTGCTAGAATATCTATAATCACAAAACTGGGAACGATGTCGTCGCTTTATCGCATTCCCATTTCTGAGAATCTACTGCCCACAAATTTGATTTTGACTATAGATATATACCACAGAATAATAAAAAATCAGAATGCCCGCTCTCCATGGAAAATTAAGTACGCGCAGACGTTCCGCCATGTTTTAACGGGAACCAGTGTTGTTTATGTGGTGTGCATAGAAAAATTAACCGTTTAATTGATTACGGCATCATAGACATACTATGCATTATTTAACATTGTTAAATATAATACCATAATATTAATATAATATAATAAACATAAAATAAACAATTACATAACGTCACAAATCATATGTCGATAACGACCCATTACACCAAATGTGATTCTCAATCCGAGTCTGTGTTCTGTGTTTCCTTCTAAAACATGGCGATCGCGTGCTGAAAAAACTTCAAAGGCGGCATCTGAGAGTGGGCATTCTGATTGTTTATTATTCTGTGCCTATACTAATTACAAAAAAGTCAAACATGCTAGTCAAAAATATTCAGGCAGATAAAGAAACAATTCTGAAATACGAAGTTCTACCCAATCTGTCGCAGTTTGTATCATTTAAAATATTTATACTGGAGATCGTTGAAAGCCATTCTAATGCTCTGATAATATGTATAACGATTTTTTAATACATTTCTTATTATTTAAAAAAGTACAAAGTAATGGAGAAATACGTTTTATTGTTTTATCTTTTGTTGTTATTTTATTTTTTTTTTGGCAAAATGCATATTATGCCATGTTACAGAACAGAAATGAGATTTTAAATAATTGTTTCTGAAAGCAGCCTTTGTTGTTTGCTTAACATGCCGTGAATCCTCCGTCAATTGGCAATGTCATCCCGGTTATCATACTTGATTTATCACTTAACAGGTACAAAACAGCATCAGTAACTTCCCTCACCTCTCCAAATCTAAAAACAGTAAAACAAGTTTACGAACATAGGTTACATGGGCAATACAAACGGCAAATAATTGAAAAGCCCTTGCCCCGATGAAGTGAGTGCTGAAGTTTTTGTGAAACAAATGAGAAGTACTGTGTGGTCTCTTCAACAGATTTTATGCACAGATATATTACTGTTTGGTTTAAGGAATACCGTGTAAAAAAATGCAGTCATTATCGAACAATAAGTCTGATGGGTATTTTTATAATATACAGAAAATTAGTCGAGAGGATTAATAATTTTATTCAGAATTAATAATCAGTTCGGATTTGGGAGTGGCTTGAGTATGATAGAAGTGTTGTTCAGTACCCAAGTACTGATAGAGTGCCTTTTGTCGGACTTTGCCAAAAGCCTTATAACAATTTTCTATAACAAAGACAAGTAAGGCAAAATAACAATATATAAATTGTAAAAAAGTAATAAAAGCAGATAAAATACATACCGTCTCAAAGGTATTTTCTCAATCATAGGCTTAGCAACCTTTGGATCTGACCAACCCAGTTTTCCCATATCTGTTAAAATAACTGTAGGATTAACAGCATTTATCCTGATATTATGAGGACCATATTCCAGAGCAGCAGCTCTTGTAAATCCATCGACTGCTGCTTTACTTGCGCAATATACTGTATGATGAAGTAATCCAACCATGGAAGCCTGAGAAGACAGATTTACTATCGATCCGGGAACTTTTCTGTCCAACATATTTTTTATTGCTATTTGGCTGACGTGAATCAGAGCTTTAATGTTAACACCCATTACACTGCAAAAAAGAGTTATTAAATTACACAGATAAACGATGAAAAAACTTTTTTACTTAAAACATCTTACTCTTATAGTTTTAGGATGCTAAACCCAAATATGACATGTATTAAGCTGTATCACCTACCATTTCTCCACATTTACACTTAAATTTATTAAATTTTGTGATTTTTTTTTTAAAGAATTTAACAGCTTTTATATAGTTCAACTAGAAATGTAAAATAGCTTGTACTGGATGTAGAAGAGTTGGTAACATTGCTGAAACATTTATTAGCTGTTCACTTTGTTTACTTTCAACCTAACCTCACTTTCTGGTTTCCAGTGTACGTGCTCAGTAAATCAAAGAATATAGACGCTTATATAAGCTATATAAGCTATATAAGCGTCTATATTCTTTGGTAAATGTCTAATTGTGGTTGTAAGAACTCTGCTGACAGTTTTTGCAATATTTCTGGTGAATGTGTTATTAAAAAACACCAAAGAAACATTACAAACATTGCCATATTTTGGAACTAAACTTGGTGATCAAGATAAATCTTGGACCGCCTTAAGGTATATTATGTTTGTGTTGAAAATCTTGGTTGAAGAAAATGGTCGAAAAAGGAAAAAAGCTTTAAAGTTTTCTGTTCCTATGGTATGGAGGGAGCCTAAAAACCACACTAATGATTGCTACTTTTGCAGTACTTATTGATATTACTGGCCGTAACTGCTTGGTTCTAGACTAGACTAGAAGAAATGAACTTATACGCAGTTAGAACCAGCATATATGTGTATAGGAAAGAGAGAGAGAGAGAGAGAGAGAGAGAGAGAGAGAGAGAGAGAGAGAGAGCAGCAGTTTTCAAACATTTTTTGAGCAAGTAGGTGATTTAGTGCACTGCTCAGACATTCCAGGTCTGATGAACGAGTTCGGTGTTAAATACAAACAAGAAGACTGGAGACTGTTTATTGACTCATCCAAAGCTAGTTTAAAAACTATTTTATTACACAATGGTAACAGTTAGGCATCTAAATCTTTTGCCCATTCTATACGTAGAAAGAGAGCTATGAAAAGTATTTCAACTGTAAATAAAAACCATTATTGTGATTTAATATAGCGTTTCATTAATTTTATCATGTACTGTATAGAGATTTTAAACTATACAACAAAAATCAAGTTATTCAAAAACATACAAAAAAGCTAAGATCAGATTTGGTTTCAGCACATAACAATCGATGAAAATCAGCTATTTAAGTCAAAAATCTCTTTTTTGGCCTTTATTATTGGAGAAATGGAATAACAATTGAACTACCTACCTGTCAATGTCTTCTTCTGTAATGTCCATCATTGATTTTAACCAGCCCATTCCAGCGTTATTCACTAGTAGGTCTATCTGTCCTATATTTTGCAGAGCTTTCTCTGTCTGTTTCCAGTCGGTTATATCTAGCTCTAGAGGTAGTATTCGAGGTACTTCTTTTTGTAAAGTCACTGAAAAATAAATGAATTTGGTACAAATATTTAATTGTATTAGGAAAATTATTTTGTGCTACTTTTGAGAGCTATCCAGTTCACCCCACTACCAACAAAGGCAGAGTTTGTATTTAATAGAGCATTATATGTAGAACAAAACGACTCTTTTCAATTTTATGTGTTGAACCTCTCATATGAAGACCACTCTATATGGAAAGCTACAAAAAACTTTAAACGACCGACAATAACAAATTCACTTTTAAGAAAAACAGGTATGACCTGGGCCCGCACAAACGCAGTAAAAATAACAGTGTTCGCAGAGCATCTTGCAACTGTATTCGCAGTACCAGATACTAATAACGATGAAGATGATGATATAAGAATGTACCTCGAAACTCCATATCAACTATCTCTTCATCTGACAAAATTTACTCCGACAGAGGTTCGACAATAAATAAAAATGCTAAATCCTAAGAAAGCTCCTGGCTATGATTTGATAACAGGGGAATTACTTCAGAAGCTACAGAGAAAAGCAGTGGTGCTATTAACAATAATATAAAACAGCATACTACGTCTTCGATACTTTCCAATAGAATGGAAATTGGCTCAAGTAACTATGATTCCAACACCTGGTAAGCCCGCAACGCAACAAATTAGAGAAATAAGGAAAACACTTTGTGTACAAAACAAAGATTAATTTACACAAAAGAATAAATTTAAAAGATGTAAAGAATATCGTTATTATATCGGTCCTTGCAAATGTTTGGAAAATATCGGAGAAGAAAATGCTCTAAATGAATTTAATAAATTTTGTAGTGTTCAGTCACATGATGCCTATCGCAAATTACTATGTTCATATGTCCAAGAAGTCGAAATCAAAAGAAAACTAGTAAAAGCATTAACTACTAGAAAATTTAGTAGAGGGTATAAATTATGTGGCAAAACTGTTTGTAAAAATTTCTTTTTACAAAAGCTAAGAATTACAAAAATAATACCAAATTTGGTCTACTACTAAATAGTAGTAGACCAAATATTACTACTTCATATAGACGTCAGCTTACTTCCAATAAGGTCAAAAATCTTAGAAAGACTTCTGGTGCAAAGAATCTCAGAAGACATCGAAATTAATTCAGTGATTCTAACACACCAGTTGGGTTTCCGCGAAGCCTGTTCAACTCTACAACAATGTCATAGGATTGTTAAAAACATTAATCTATGCCTCGAAGGGAAAAACTGCTGCCTTCTTGGATATATAACAAGCCTTCGACCGTGTTTGGCATGACGGCCTCCTGTATAAACTTAAGTCATCCTTTCCCACTCCTCACTATCTACTCTTAAAATCATACATCACAGAATGTCACTTTCAAGAGAGATTCCTTACAGAAACCTCTCATTACTATCCCATAAAATCCGGTGTCGCTCAAGGAAGAGTCCTGGCTACCCTCCTGTACCTCATATACACTGCTGATATCCCAACAACAAATACGACTACATAAGCCATGTTCGCAGATGACACCGCCATAATATCCATCGATGATGATCCCTAAGTAGCATCAGGAAACCTTCAAATACACTGAACCTACTACAAGACTGGATGAATAGATGGAAAATCAAAGTTAACCATACTAAGTCTAATCAAATTACATTCACCAATAGGAACATCATATGTCCAAGAATCAGACTGAACAACATATTGCTACTAGTAAAAACAGAAGTCAAATACCTGGAAATGACACTTGATCGAAAGCTCACTTGAAAGCCCACACCTTGGCAAAAAAAATCCAAATCAACATGAAAACACGTCAAATGGATTGGCTAATAGCCCGAAAATCACAGTTATCTACAGATAATAAACTTTTTTTGTATACGTGCATAATAAAGCCTATATGGATATATGGAGTGCAACTATGGAGCTGTGGAAAGCCTTCTAATACCAAAATCATTCAGAGAATCCAATCCAAAATAATCAGAATGATTTTTAACGCGCCGTGGTACGTTAGTAACAAAACACGGCATGATGACTCTGGTATACCGTTAGTTGAAAACGAAATCTGCAGACTAACAAGAAATATTTAGAACATCTGCCAGCCCACCCCAACGAGGAAGCAAGAAAACTACACCTCCAACCAGAAGTCAGACGAAGATTGAAGAGACATTGGCCAACAGACTTTATTCACTAATTTCAATTTTAATTTTAATTTTCGTTTCAATTTTAGTTTCAAATTATAATCCTACATTAATTTGTTAGTGTTAGTATTGGGAGTGTTATCAGTGGATAATTTCTTCTCTCATGTATTTGCAATACTCACATTTACTAATAGCTTGTAATAGCAGATTGTAAATTTGCAAATTTAATAAATAAAAAATTGTTGTTTTAATCACAAAATATGCTTATTTAACTAGTTCTACAATTATTGATTACCTATAAGACCCACCCACTGTACTATTCTAATCATTCAATTAGCAGTTTAAAAGTAGTTGGTACTTTTTACCGACTAATTATATTGTTTACGAGTACCCATGTATTATCCGATTCGTCACAATAAACTAGAAATGCCTAAATAAAACCATTCAGCGCCGATTGGTGGTGACACAAAAAATTTGAAGGTTGGGCTTATTAAATCGAACAGTTTTTGTGATAGTTTCATGAGAATTTAAAATAAAGTAACATTCGGTAATATGCGCTAAACATTTTAAGTGAACAATGGATTTATTAACGATAGTAAAAAGTCTGGAGCTATAAATTCCAGACTGTACTTGTAGGTATACGTTTTAGTTGTAGGTAGTGTTTTTATCATTATTGCCTGTAACAGCCCTTTATAAGATTTGGATTTTGTGAATGTCTTTTCATAATTTCGGTACATAATATTATTATTGAGGTACAGTAAATTTTAAGCTTTTAAATAAGATCATCGTCATCATCCAGCCTCAAGAGTCCACTGCTGAACATAGGCCTCTTCCTCAGAAACCACAATAGACCATTTCTGTCAATTCTGGTTGTGGATTTGACGTTTTAGTTTCATTTGGTAGATCAGTCACAGAACTTTCAATAAAGTCAGCTTCAGAAAAAATATCTCTATTAAGGGGAAAAATTCCCGTTTGATTAAAACATGACTGAATATTAGTAGGTGTTTTTGCTTTCATATGTGCCTCTCCTACACATTGTGCTGTCTGGTACATTGAAATAGGTTTACCAGGATGGCTCAGCAATCATGGGTCTATAGCGGCATTGTAATACGCTTTAAAGGGAGCAAAAATTAAAACATCAAGGGGTTGGAGTTTGTTACTACCATGAAGAGACAGACTCAGTATGAATACATCATTATCCTTTGCCAGTTAAACAACGTCATATGTTACGTGACTCTCGTGATTGTCGTAGATCAGTATGGAAGGGAATAGTAGCTATTTATCCATCCATTTGGATTTCCCAAACCCAGTGTGCCAGGTGGAGCTTCTTGTGTTGTATGCTTCTTATAATATATCCTTGGAAAAACCATGACAGGCGGCAGAAACGTACCATTCGCACATACAACGACACATGTGGTAATAAGAATACAATCATTGTTGTACTAGTCTCAACAAGGTTATATATCCTGATATTAGACACAGCTGATCATCATCATCATCATCAATCAGCCAATCGCGTCCACTGCTGGACATAGGCCTTCCTCAGTTCTTTCCAGTGTTCTCTACACTGGGCCGCTTGTATCCAGTTTCCCGCTACACGTTTAATGTCATCGGTCCATCTAGTCGGTGGTCGTCCTCGGCTTCTTTTATAATTTCTGGGCCTCCATTCCATAATACGTCTTGTCCACCGTCCATCTTGTGTTCTGACTAAGTGCCCTGCCCAGTTCCACTTAAGCTTCTTGGTCGTGGTTCTTTCGATGACGTCTTGAACTCCTGATCTTCGCCTGATTTGTTGGTTTGTTATGTGGTCTCGAAGGCTCACGTTCAGCATTGCACGTTCCATGGCTCGTTGTGTAACTCTAAGTTTATTCGCAGATTTTTGCGTGAGTGTTAAAGTCTCTGCTCCATAAGTTTGTACAGGTAAAACACATTGGTTATAAACCTTTCGCTTGAGACACATGGAATTGAACTTTTTAGAATATGGCTTAATTTGCCAAATGCTGCCCATGTTAGACCTATTCGCATCCGTATTTCATTTGTTTGATTGTCTCTGCTTATTTTGATTTCGTGTCCCAGATATTTGTAAGTGTCTGTTTGTTGTATGGTATTATTGTCAATAGTTATATTTAGACTCATTACGAGATTTGTTATAATTTTAGTTTTTTCAAAGTTTATCTTTAATCCTGCTCTTTCAGACAGACTTTTAAGCGAATGCATCATAGAAACTGTATCTTGTAAGTTATCTGCGATTAATACAACATCATCTGCAAACCTTAGGTGATTTAATCTTTCTCCATCTATATTGATGCCCATATCTTACCATTGAGTACCCTTAAATATTGACTCTAGAGCTGCCGTGAACAATTTTGGTGAAATATTGTCTCCTTGTCTAACTCCTCGACCTAAGCTGAATTTTTCTGTGTCTTCGTGCAGTCGTATACTTGATGTAGCGTTCTGGTAGATGTTTTTGATTAGTGTCGTGTACCTGTAATCTATTCGGCTTTGATTTAAGGCTTCCAGTATTGTTTCAAACTCTACAGAATCAAAAGCCTTCTCGTAATGTTACGAGAAGACACAGCTGATGGGTATCTATAATAAACGGCATGTAAATTGTCGAAGAACTTGTTGACATTGTGTCGATTAAATGATGTTAATCTTGATAAACTGCAACCCTCTGGTTGACGTATACTGAGTTTACCACGCCTACTTAAAAATGAACGGAGCCATTGGAGTCCAGCTATTTTATACTTAATCCAATTCATTGAAACTGGAATATTTTTTTTAATCGCCATATCATAGGCAACATTTTCGTGCTTGAATAGAATGGATGTAATCACACAAAGAAATCTCCTGTTCCTCTGAAAACACAGAGCATGCGTCGTACAGCATAACTGGGTCCCATTCAATCATTGTCTGGATTAGTACGTTTTTTTGCGACATATCTTTGTAATGTCTGAAGTGTTATACTCCGTGTTCAACGGCAGCAATTCTCAATGATTTTCCGTTAAAAACATCTTGTACGACACTTGCCATATCATCGGAGTTGAATGCCGCTCGACTCCTTGGGTTTTCTTTGCGTACCATGTCTGCAACAAACATAATAAACTTTTATCCTACCTGTACAACATATTCTTATAACATACCCACGGTACTAAATTTAATAGTACACAATGGGACAGTCTCATTGTGTACTATTACTCAGTGCCTCACTGTGTACCAAGTAGCATTGTTAGCATTGTAGCAAGTAAACAAATGTGAATTAATCATATTTAAATTTTAGTTTTGAGACACGACTATTGGAGGTTAGACTAACTTAACTGTTGTATTTCACGCATGTTCTTGCAAATTGACACAAATTAAATATTAGTTTCGATAATAAGTCAACAAAACTATATAAAAAGTAACTTCTTACCGTAATTAAAGAGTTTATCACTGTAATTTTCACGAGGTCATGAATGAAATGATGGTATTTTGAATAGTGATTTAGTGATATAAAATGACATTTCTGTGATAATGTTGGTTGCAGAATTGAATCTTGGCGGTAAATTTGAAAAAATATTAGATATTTTTATTGTATACCATATCTAATTGTTTAATATTTCCCCTACTATATTAGGTATTTTATTTCTATACAGCCATATTTTTCTTCTTACAGAATTTCTTACTTTTTTATATTAATACTTACTCAGGTCATTTTTGTTTCGTCCAACTGCAATGACTTCTGCTCCACATTTCGACAGTTGAATTGCAATATCTCTTCCAATACCTGCAATAGGTCTTTATTTTACAATCTAGCTTTAAATGATTGAAAAGAAAAAAGTTTACCCTGAAATATAATGTTAACTAAGACATAATAAGTAGATGACAGTTACCAGAAAATAGAAAACGACACACATGCTCTGGTTAGAAAAATCAAAATTGACCATTGGGAAGGTATTTCAAAACAAATAGGCTATTATTTTATGGCCTTTTAGAGATTAAAGGTAAAGACTTGAAATATTACTTTATGGAATTATCGACATTAAACAAATTTTGAAATAAGGGGAAAAACTTGAGAAAATCCTAAACAAATGGTGTAGGAGCTATACAAGTGCCGTCTTTGTCTTCAGCCAAAAACTCAAAAAATCAGTTGATATAAATCGATCTAAATATGTTTTAATAAACTTAGACTTAAATAGTAAAAATATTTGACCTTATCCAATTGAGATGTGTTCTCGTCAATATCGAAATTTCTTAAAGATTGATCAAAAGTATATAAAATAATCTACTTATAAAAAATAAGTCGATTATATTTCCTATATACAAAAAGGGAGATAGAAGTGAATGAGCAAACTACAGAGGAATATCCGTATTAGAGGTAATATATAAAGTGCTCGCTATATTAATTAAAAAAAGATTAGAAATATATGTAAAGAAGAATCTAGGAGAATATCAGGGAGGATTTCGAAAAGGAAGATCAACAACCGATCAAATTTTTATGCTAAAACAATTCCTGATCAATTGCTATGAATACAACATTTCAGCACAAGTATTTTCAATGATTACAATGTTGCCTACAATACGATAGACAGAAACAAATTAATAGAAACGCTCAAAGAATTAGACAAACCATTTGTGCTGTGAAAAGCAACGGTACAGTCTAAGTTAAAAAAGATTTTCGCCAAGTAGACTTATTGTCTACATTGCTATTCAATATAGTTCTAGAAAAAAAAATGTAAGGGTTAGTGGGATAAATGGGTACTATTTTATACAAGGAGCACCAATGCTTAGCATACGCTAATGACGTGGTTCTCATTGCAAGAAATGGAAAATAACTGGCAAATATAGCAAAAAGACTGATTTGGAAAAGCTCTAAAATGGGACTGAAAGTTAATATTAATTAATCGAAGTACATGGAAATCTGAAGCAAAAAAGGAATAAACATCAGGAGACCCTAAATTGGAGGTGGAGGATGGATCAGTTGCAGAATTCGAGAAGGTAGATGAATATCGTATTTAGGTACTCTTATTGATCCGACATGTAAAGAAGAAACTGAAATCAACCTAAGACCGATCAAGAATATGGACATGGAATATGAACAAAACCATACAGAACAGATTGGAAGCATGAAAAAGAAAGATGCTTCGCAGAATGTTTGGTGGAAAAGTAGTAGAGGGAGAATGGAGAAGACGAACTAATGCAGAAGTGTACCATTTGTATACTAATCCTACAATAGTAAAAGTGGTAAAAAACGTAGACTAGAATGGCTCGGACTTCTAGAAAGAGTGCAAGATCACTGACCTTGACTAGTCAAGAATATTGCTTGGAGAGTACCTTGGAGCAAAAAAAAAGAGGACGACCAAGAAAGAAATGGAGAGATGTTGTGATGGAAGATGTCAGAGAGATGGGAATCAGAGATTGGAAGCTGATAGCTAAGAACAGAAAACGATGGAAATTATCAATTCATCAATGGGCCCAACAGGCTTGTTAACGCTATACATACATACATATAAAATATGGACTGTCTTAATACAAACATAATACAACATATTGACCAAATGTCACCATTCTTTCAAGATCATATGTAGAATAGACAAAGCAAGATCGTCCTTTTAGGAGTATTTCGAAATAACTTAAAAGCTATTTTTTTTGGTACTTCTATATGATGTTAAAACAAAGACGCTTACAGATGCTAATGGTTGTATACACAGGTTATAAAGGAATACAAAGAATAAACAATGCAGTAGAAAAAGTGATTGGCAAAATTCAAAATAAAATAAAAAATTATTGGTTTGATCGTTTGATGATGAGTGCAAATTAGCAGTGGAAGAAAATAATAAAACAAGATTGAAATGGTTAAGGACAAGCAAAGAAGTGGAACGAGAAAAATAAAAGAAAAAAGGCAAAATACAAAGAAATTATGAACGAGATAGAAACAGAAAATAAAAGACACAACTTAAAACCATTGTACCAATACTTTAAACTAGGTAAACGAAAACAGATAGGTAATATAGCTATAGAAGCAAAAAAATGGCATAAGTAAAAGAGAGAAACGATAATGAATACGGAACAAGATGAAGACACGAAGAATTTACCTATACAGAAGTGAAAGAGAAAATATGCAAACTTAAAAACGGGAAAACCAGAAAATGACTGTTATAATTAGAGTCAGACTAACAATATATACAGAATAGAGCATAGGAGATTACCAGTACGGTTTTCGTAAAGGAAGATCTACGATATAAGCTATATACATACCTTAAAACAAGTAATGGAGAAAACATACGAGTACGACGGAGAAACACATATAATTTTCCTGGGCTTTAAACAGGTGTTTGACAAACTAAACAGAAGAAAAATGATCCAAGACTTACAAATATAACAAATAAAATTATAAGAATGATAGAAATAAAAATGCGAGATCACCAAGCAATAATAGACATCGGAAGAGGAAGAACAGAAATAATAAAAATAAAAAATGGAGTAAGACAAGGACATGCGCTCTTAACGGTACTATTTACTATATGCTAAGATAATAAAAAAACTGTCAAACGCAGGACCGATAAATAAGAATGCAGTACAACTAATATGATATGTGGACGATATAACCATAGTAGCAACATTTAAAATGGCATTAAGAAAACCTTCCAAGAAATAGAAAACGAAACCAAACTGAGAGGACTGGAAATAAAGAAAATAAAACAAAATATAGGAACGCAAGCAAGAAAAAGAAGACGTATATGTAAGAACTGACATATGTGACTATACATGAATATTGTAGCATACAGAAAACTGTAAAAAGAACTAAAGAACAATGGATTCATGAAGAATGTCGACCCATAACAGAAAAAAGAGTAATGCACAAATATGACAACAACAACAACGGAGGACAAGATAAGCAAAAAAAAATTTAGGCCGTTAAGGAATGACGAAAAGGCAAATCATCGAATGAAGAAAAGGCAGATTAAACAGTTTCAGTTTAAACAGGTGGAAAAATATCTTGTAATCTATTCCAACATTTTTTACGAGAAATCGATATATCTGTTAAATATTTGAAGAAAATAGAAATACATTAGTTGAATAAATTTATTTAGAGAGAAAATTGTACGAAATACAATTTTAAATTTGAACTTAAAAATATTTTACCTTTGGTAGCTCCAGTAACGAGAGCTCTCTTTCCAGAAAAATTAATTTCCATCTTTTTATGGGCTTACAGAAACATAAGTTGACGACTAGGTTATTATTAAGTGACCTTTAATTATACTGTAGTGTGATATCAGGTTTATTATTTGGCTTATCTTTATTAAGTTCAAGATATTTTTGAATTATTGTTTGGTAAACATCGTACAACTAAAATTAATTTTACGTCATATTTTATACAAGGAGTGATCTAGTGTAATAAATATTTCAGAAAGGGGGAAGTAAGGCACATGCGTAAATTAGCGCTATATGCCGTGTAGGCTTGTTTGATGTTGGTTTGATTGGTTTGCCGTTCTTATACTGAAGATGAGATATTTAAAGTTTTATGGCAATCTCTTTATAATAAACTAATAAAGTTTTATAATATAAAAAAATCATCATCACTTGTGCTACAGCTCTAAGGTAAAGCCTTGGCTTTTTTGCTTATTCAAATCTATTGGCAACCGTTGCAAGTTTGTAGCACCGAATTTCCTAGCATTCTCATGCACATCACTTTACCATCCCCATGCATAAGGATCGGCCCGGCTTTTATTACTATCTTCCTCAGTTTTTGTCCTACTAGATATTCTGCCCATCTTAATCTTCGTATTTTTCTTATAAATACCATATTTTTCCATCTGCTATGTGGTTGTATTTGTTTTAAATTTCACTGTTGTACCTCCTCCTCTGGATATCATTTTCACCAAAATATTCCCCTCAGGATTCTTAGTTTAAAGATGAGTAAAAGTTTTCCTCTGCTTTGGAAATGGTCCGGAAGGGTTTCGAATTCGTATGTTAGCGCTAATAAAATTAACTCAGATTTATGTATGATACCGATCTCACTCCTTCTAAGGTGAAAATTCACTTTTCTTATATATCTACGGTATCAGAAGGATTGAGATCTTTACGTGTTATCATTTTGCTTTTATTAGCCAATTCATGTCCAACTGAATTCAGAAATGCTTCGTTTGTAGATCAATACGCCAGAAATAGGGTAGCAGGTCGATACTTCTCGGCGATCCTAGCAAGGGATCGATTTACTTCAGGAATAGCATACCTGCCCACGCGAACTTATGGATTTCTCCAGCCTCCCATCCTTGGGGAAACCATGTCCAAATCCAAACCATTCCCATCTCCACCCTTTTAATAGCTTAAAACCCCAAAAGTTATTTTCTATGAAAGGCATAACTACTGAACGGCCCTCAATCTCTGGCGGCTCGAATACCCCCAACCAAGGTAGCGATTTCGAGCAGAGGGTGCTAAGAATCCCCGGAAAAAATCAGGCTACTAGAAAGAGCAACAAATGCATATTACTTCATACGATGTTAGAACTCTTTTATCAGACCAGAAGATGATGGAACTGGAAGAAGGGCTGAAAAGAATAACAGGGGACAAATTACTCTTAAATCAGGACACGTATTTCATTTTAGAGGAGAAAACATTTCAAACGGTGGAGTGGGATTCATTATATATAGAAAGTACACACAAAATATAGTTGAAATTATCAGCAAAAGCTCGAGGATTGTATACCTCACCTTCAAACTATATGCAAGATATAACCTCTTTTTAATTGCCGTATTGCCAGATTCCAGTAAGAGCCTAAGAAGGTATCCATTGAATTCTGACAGGCAACGGTGGGTAAGGTTAAATAATATTAACCATAAATTTCAGATCCCTGGCTCAATTTCCTCCCTGTCCTCCTGCTCCTTTTTTTATCCCCCCAATTAGACAGTGTACTTCTCTCAATTCTTTCTCTTGTCTCAACATTATGTTTACAATGTTTCTTTCATCCCGCCCGAAACCCATTCGCCTCTAGAAATCTCTCCTCTCATTTACCAGTCTGCCGAGGCAGATTTGCCTATTCTATTTGTGAAGGTGCCAAAACTACCATCCGTCCAGTCAGAAAATGCGTTAAGAAGTAGCCTAGTTTCTTGAACCTACATTCCCACCACGGTCTTAGATCGGGAATAAGCTCCTTCGTCCACCTTTCCTTTCTACTATCATTAGCTGATTATTTCTGCCACTCTACTATTGTTCTTTCTCTTTCATTCTCATCTATATTTACATCCATCCTCGCTCGCTCTTTGCACAACAAACCGATCGGTATCACCGCTCCAATGTCTCCATGTCTCGCTCCATTTGAAACTGTCCTATATGCACTAGATACCCTGAGAAGCACTCGCCTTTGCAAAGTCTCCATCAGCTTAGCGTATTTCGCAGTGTTTAGTACGCTACACCACACGGGGGCAGCGTAGGTTACCACCGACTGGAAAACTCCATTTAGTACCTTTCTTTTGGTGCTACCTGGGCCTCCAATGTTTGGCATCAGCAGTATCAATGCCTCCAAATTTCAGTTCGCCTTCTCTACTGTGTTTTGGATCTGTACTCTGAACCTTAGTTCTTCCGACAACCAGACTCCCAGATACTTAATTGATTTAACCGGTGCAACCTCCACACCTTCCACTATAAAGCGAAGAGAGGATTTTTCGCGGGTCCCTTTGAGAACTAACACCTCAGTTTTATGTGGCGCTAGCTTTGAATCTTTCTCGTTCTACGAAACCAGTAACCCTTTAATGCCTATCCTTCACCTGAGGAAAGAGTTCCCGTATTAAACGGAGTTTCTCCTCCTCAGGCACGGGGTAGTGTTGTCAATTCGGTACAGACAATCTTGAAGCCCTGCCCTCAGATATCCCTTTCGAAATCCTGAAGCAGGTTATAATGAAGATATAACCTTAGACCCAGAAACAGAATTACATGTCACATCATCATATTACACAATAATTATGGACGGCCTTTAATGAGAAAATGGGGTTTAAACAAGATGATATAGAAGTAGCAATGGGTAAGTATGGATATGGCGAAATAAATGAACGAGAGCAAATATTGCTGAACTTATTACACTAGGAACATTATCCATGATGAACTCTTTTTTCGATAAAAAGCCCAGATATGGATCAGCACAAATATATTATATAATAAAAAACGGAAAAGAAATAATCAAAGACATCGAAGTACTCAACAAATTTTTAATAGGAAGCAACCATAAATTAATCCGAGCTAAGATACTGCTAAATGTCAAATTGGAAAAACAAAGCTGATCCTAAAAACATGAAAAAAGAAATGGATTCTCCCAGAAAACAACGACCTGTAGGAAGATACACTAACCAAATATATACAAGACGTGCAAGATGAAAGAGAAGATGTAGATCAAGCAAATGGTGGCATAACGAAAGCGCTAAAAGAAACGGAAAGGAAGTGCTATCCGACTGTTCTGATCCATAAAGAAAAACTAAGTCAAAATACCAAAGAGCTAGTAGGTAAAAAAAGACAGCTGACGGAAAAATACGGCTCTAACTACATAACAATGAAGAAATTAAATAAAGATATCCACCGGTCAATCCGAAAAGACGTAATAGAAAACAATACAAGAGGAATAGCTAAAATCTTTTAATAAAACAAAAGTTTAAAAGTTTTAAGTTGAAGTACGAACAGGCAACAAAAATATGTACAAAATAAAAAAAAGATGGAAACATTATACTGATAGAACCAAAATCCTCGAGGTTGTCAAATCACAAATCAGAGATCAGAATTAATGCCTGAAATATCTCCATACGAAATCAAAACGGCACTTGTTGAAATGAAAAATAACAAATCCCCTAGTAGTGATCGAGGCGATCAACCTAGAGGAGATAAAACCTGGAAATAAAATTATCCAGGCTTTGGCCAAGCTTTTCACTGAATGCATATACCAAGGAAAAACTCCTTCTCAATGGAACAATGCAGTCATTATTTTATTACACAAGCAAGAAGACATCATCATCATCATCTTTGGCTCGACAATCCTCTGTGGATCTTGGCCTGCTCTAAGATTCGTCGCCATTCTGTTCGGTTTTTGGCAACATGTTGCCATCTTCTGATTTTTAATATTCGTAAGTCGGTTTCTACTCATCTAACCACGTAATTGGCGGTCGGCCTTTGCTTCTTTTTCCTACAGGTGTTCCTGTGGTTAGCTTTTTAGCAATGGTATTTTCTGGCATTCGTATTATGTGTCCAGCCCATCTAAGTCGCTGTGTTTTAATGAACGTTATGACATCTGGCTCATCAAAGAGCTGATACAATTAAAATTATATCTTCTGCGCCACTGCCCTTCGTCGTTTACAGCTCCAAATATTTTGCGGAGTATTTTACGCCCAAATATTCCCAAAAGTCTTTCATCTTTCTGCGTTAGAGTCCATGTTTCTGCTCCATATGTGAGGACCGGCCTCAGCAATGTTTTGTATATAATAATTTTAGTTTTTCTTTGAATGTTTCTTGAGTGGAAATGCTTTTGGAGTCCATAGTATGCCTATTTGTAAGATTTATTCGTCTTTTGATTTCTTCGCTTGTTTTATTGGTAGCAGTCAATAGCGACCCAAGGTATGTGAAGTTGTCAACACGTCCAAAGGTATGACTTCCAAAGACTGTTTCTCGTTCATCATTTGCTATCGGATCCTTTGTAACCAACATGTACTTGGTTTTATCTTCGTTGATGACTAGACCGACCTGTTTCGCCGCTGGTTCCAATTCCAGAAGATATTGCTCAACATCTCGCTTGCTACGCCCTACTATGTCAATATAATCAGCATATGCTAAGACTTATATCGATCTATTGTAAATAGTACCGCCATCCCTAATTCGTGTATCTCGGACTGCCTTTTCTAAGGCAATATTAAATAGGAGGCAAGCCAGAGCATCTCCTTGTCTGAGTCTATCCTTTATCTCAAAGGATCTAGAACTCTCTCCCTGTATTCTAACAGTGACTTCTAAGTTAGACATTGTCATTCTCGTTAGTCGGATAAGTTTCTCTGGTATACCAAACTCATGCATTGATTGGTATAGCACTGTTCTCTTGACACTGTCGTATGCGGCCTTGAAGTCGACGAATAGGTGATGGGTTTCAATATTGAATTCTAATGGTTTCTCGAGAATCTGTCTTATTGAATGAATCTGGTCAATTGTTGATTTTTCTGGAGTGAATCCAACTTGATATTTACCAATTTTGCCTACTGTGTAAACTTGCAACCTTTCGTAGAGAATATTTGCTA